TTTTTTTTTTTTTTTTTTTTTTTTTCTTTAAGGGAGGGGTTTTTAAAATATTGTATTTGAAAATGGCGACTAAAATTTGTTTTCCTTCATTACTTTAATTCCTAAAAATTATTTTATAGTATGAGCATAGCTGACATAAATATAATTTAAAAAGGTAAATTATTATTTTTTTTAATTCTTTTTATTATTGAACATGTTTTTCTTAATTTTTTGTCGGACGTATATTAATATGAGGAGGAGCTAAAATAATTTTTTTTAGTTAGAGCTTTAATTTGTTATTTTTAATGAATGACATTGACGAAAAGGCCCCTCCAGCTCTCTTCATGAAGAACATTGTTGGTTGGTCCTTTCAAGTTTCGAACTTCATTCATGAAAATTGAAGGCATTTTATGAAATGATGATATTTGGTATTCGGAAAATATGTCTGTTTAATTGATTTTTCGTAATATTTCATTATATTTTGTATGAAGTTGTTTTTATCATATTCATTAGATTATGCAAATAAACAACAATAATTTTGTAATATCTGTTTCAATTTTTCTGAATTTAGCTATGTGATTTCATTGTGTACTGAGGGATCAAGAAATTTCTGGGTTTTTGATAAAATGAAATAGTTTCATAACCTCGTTCCCCTCTCTCTCTCTCTCTCTCTCAATGTTTGAATATGAAGCTTTATGCTTCCAAAAGAAAAACTTGCCTTTTGTTATTCTTTCTTTCTTTTTGCATTCTATAACTTTTGGAAATTCAAACTGCTTTTGCAGATTCGATGCTGTCATACACTTCGCTGGACTTAAAGCAGTTGGCGAGAGTGTCCAAAAGCCACTGCTTTACTATGATAACAACTTAATTGGGACAATTGTCCTGTTGGAAGTCATGGCTGCCTATGGATGCAAAAAGGTTATTCTCTGACATGTTATTAAATTCCATTTTAAAGAACTTAATTATTGACAAGGAATAACAAGTTTATCGTGATATCTTCTCTTGAGTGTTTCCCAATTTTGGTGTAACTGACAAATCTTTAAAAATTTGGTCTCTTGTCAGCTCGTGTTTTCATCATCAGCTACTGTATATGGGTGGCCAAAGGAAGTCCCTTGCACTGAAGAGTTCCCTTTGTCTGCAACAAACCCTTATGGACGAACTAAGGTGCATACTACATTGAATCAACTATGGAACCTTAGATGCTCTTTAGAAACTGCTCTTAGATTTTTAATATAGAAAACTTACTCATGTCTGCCATGGAAGGTTTAATATCCTAGGAGTTACTTTGACAATCGAATAGAGTAAGTCAGATGATTTTCTCGTGAGAATAGTCGAGCTGGCTCGAACACTAATGAAAAAGGGTACTTAGTAAATAGTTGTTTCTTGGTTGAGTGAAGATCATAAACAAACAAGAAACCTACGCTCATTTAGCTGTTTCTTCCATGAGCAGATCTTATTGAAATGACACAATATGTTCTTTTACTTCCAGCTGTTCATCGAAGAAATTTGCCGAGATATTTACCGATCAGATTCAGAATGGAAAATCATATTGCTTAGATACTTCAACCCAGTAGGTGCTCATCCCAGTGGAGAAATTGGTGAAGACCCCCGTGGAATTCCCAACAACTTGATGCCCTTTGTGCAACAAGTTGCTGTTGGCAGACGGCCAGCCTTGACAGTTTTTGGAACCGACTACTCTACCAAGGATGGAACAGGGGTATGTGTAAACCCCCTTCCAAAAAAATCCATCTTCTGAATTATTATTCGGGGATGACATAAAGTTTTCTACTACTCATATCCCTCAAATTTCTCGTTTGATAATTAGAGGTTGGTGTCTATTGTCTGTCCCTTGTGCAGGTTCGTGACTACATTCATGTTGTTGATTTAGCTGATGGGCACATTGCCGCATTGCGCAAAGTGGATGATCCCAGCATAGGTATGTTCTACAAATGGATTATGTTAGGCACCATCCAATTAGTTTCTTATTAATGAAGATTTATTCAAGATTCTTTCCCTAGCCATGTTTGAGTGTAGTCACATCATCCCATTGACATCTTTCTAGAATTTACCTTGGTTGATTTTCTGAACCAGATGGTAATAGTATCGATTTGCATACAGAATTAAGCACTGTTTTGTTAATACTTTTAACTGGGGGAAGGATAACGCTGTGCTTATATTATCCACAGGCTGCGAGGTTTACAATTTAGGAACTGGAAAGGGTACTTCAGTTTTGGAGATGGTTTCAGCATTTGAAAGTGCATCTGGACAGGTAAAAGATTTTCCTTCATATGGTATGCTCATTCATTATAACAATAGGCTGCTGCTACTCCTCCTTTCACTCTCAATGACTAGACAATATTAGAGGATTATTGAAAAAAGTAGTCCCACCTTAGCTAACTAAGAGGAGGATCATGGGTTTATAAGAAACACCGTCTCCAAGGCCTTTTAGGGAAACAAAAAAAAAAAAAAAAAAAAACCATAAGAGCTTATGCTCAAAGTGGACAATATCATACCATAGTGGAGAGTCATGACTCCTAACAGACAATGCTGTAAATGCATCACAGAGATGTCAGATTGATTTCTCATAGTTTATCAGTACATAAAATGGCTGCATCAGAGAACTGTCCGGTGAAATTTCCTTCCCTAGTTGGAATTAGTACCTCATATTTGGACATTGCGAGTCTCACCACACATGAAAGGAAGTGTTAATAATTCGTCCAATAAAACTAAACATTTAAGCTTATGAGATGATTTGCAAGACATATAATGAAATGTAATTCCTTTTGCAGAAAATTCCTCTTGTGATGGCGGATCGACGACCAGGGGATGCTGAAATTGTGTATGCGGAAACAGAGAAAGCGGAGAAGGAGTTGAACTGGAAGTAAGATTGTTAGGAAGGCTGGAGTTTGAATCACTCTGTTTATAAAGACTCTTTAAGAGATGTGTTATGTTCGTTGTTGTGCAGGGCCAAGTACGGAATTGAAGAAATGTGCAGGGATCAATGGAACTGGGCCAGCAAAAATCCTTATGGCTATGAAGCTTCAGCCCCCAACAACAAATAAGAACCCCAATTTGCTTGGTATTTTCCAATTTCCATATGCTTTTTTGCCATTGCCTCCTGAGATTTGCATCTCTCTCCGTATCAGTGATATGAATAAACCCAATACCCTCTCCCCTGGCAGTGTTTTTAACACTTGCTTTTTAGGTCCTTTTTGGAGCTGGAATGCAAACATTTATTTTAATCCTAAGTTTATCTTCCACGAAATTATCAATATCTGATCTCAAATACTTGCTCAGCCTTTATTCTTCCATGTTTGAAATTCTTACAAAAGACACAAACTAAACAATTCAATTTATTAATTATTAGGCTAAATATAATGATTTTTCTAAAATTCACTCACCATTGATTTAAAAGTTTCAATGGCCAAGATGAAAAGTTGAAACTTGTTGGCACGTGTTTGGGGGAAGAGGAGCCGTAGGTCACGGAAGGTGGTTTCGTTTGACCGCTGAAAACAAGAGATTCTCGTGTTGGGTACAGTAGTCGTGCTTCCTTGTTTTATTTGTATCATGACCATCCTCATTTAAAAGACCTTTTTACCCTCCACTTACTATTGTATGATCAAATGGCTTTCAGTAAAATAAAAATAAAAAATAAAAACTTTAACACGTGTTAATAGATTATTAATAATGCTTGAGATTTAATTAAAAATATTTCCTAAACACTGTTTAACCGTTTTTTAATGAGATTTAATTTTTGCTAATTCAATGCCTTGAGGTTCTTTTTGGACGATTCTTAAAAGATGCATTAATGGATGACAGGTTGCGTAACGTATTAATACAATTCTCTTTTTTTCTTTTATCTGTTTAATTAAATCACTATTTTCGAATTTATAGTATACTTTTTCCCCCAAAAAGAAATCCTTATATTCTTTGGTTAAGTTATTTATTTATTTTAATAAAGTAACTTAAAAGGTCGGTTTGGAATATTTTTAATATAAATACTTTTGAAAAAAATTTAATAAAAATATTATTATATCATACATATTTTTCAAAAATAATTTAAATGACAAATTTGTTCGATTATTTTATAAGCATCTATCATCATTTACATCGAGTAAATTGATTATGCAAATAATTTTGCTCAGAATATGTAATTTTCTAATGATAATTAAGGTTCATAAATACAATCTAACATGATTTTTTTTTTAAAAAAAGATTATAATAATGATAATTAATAAAATTAATGTTTCCTTTTCCACTATTTCATAGCATCACATAATTACTCACTCTTAATTTTATCAATACAATTAAATTACAAAATTCAAGAATTTAATATTATTCTAGATCGAAAAGAAATTTATTATATTATTCCAAATTCCATTCCACATTATTAAAAAAAGAAAAAGCCCTTCTCTGTACCGATAATAATATCCCAACACCTGTTTGGTAAACACCACAGGAATAAATAAAGCAAAATGGGTGTCCAAACTGCATTTCCTTTCCTCTTATAAAGAACATTTAAATCAAGTATTTCTTTTGCAAATAGAAATTTCATAATATTATGATATGATGATACTGATAGAAAGTTCAATGCTGGAAGCTAAAACTTTAAATATAAGAAAAGAATGTCCACAACCATACTATATTCCACTCTCAAAGCTCATCAGATGCATCCACCCAGCTGCAAATAAGTCGAGGAATTTGTGAGTAAAAAGCAAAACATGGAGTAAATGATTCATAGAAGAAGCCTCATTCATTCTAGGACTCAAATTTTGAACAGGCTTGTTGCTAAATGTACTTACATATGTTAGAATGTTTTAAATTTAAAGTATCTGGGGGTGTTTAACTATTCTCACGAGCCAATTGTCCAACCTTGCTACATCGGTAATTCGTATAATATTAAATCTTGAAGTCCAAATTGGTTGACATGTTAGAAGTTAACATCACTACATCCAAGTAATACTCAATGAAAAAGTATCAACTCCACGTTCCATTAACGAACAAACTATAATGAACCGAAGACGACTTTCTAAAACACAAACCAACGACTCATGCTTTCCGACCAAACAGCTGGGATTTCTTTTAAGGTTTAAGGTTTGTATCTCATGTCGATTTGATTCATTTCTTGCAACAAGAAAGGTCCAAATTGAATGCTTGAAGCACATTGCTTAGAAGAAAAAACAAGGCAATAACCAAATAGGAATACGTTACCAAAATAGCTTCAATCTCCTCATTGGACATTGGAGTCCTTTTAGGCTGAAGGGAAGCTTTTCCTCCAATAGTTTTGGATGCCTTTTCATTTAAAGATAAGAATAACACTTGATCATCCACCCCAATGCTTGTTGGAGTCTGAGAAGTAGAACCTGTAAACATTCTTCAGTATTTACTACAATAAAATTACTTGACATATAACTTTAGAAAACACGACACCAAGACAGCATTCAACGATCGATATTATACGATATTTCAACTCGTTAATGATTATCCACGTCTATTAAAACCCAAGCATTCAAATAACTACAAAGACACTGACCGTCCAAGCGTCAAAAGAGGGGAAAGTGAGTTAACGATCATCAATGTCTATCATACGGTACTTCAACTCGTTAATGATCATCCATGTCTATTAAAACAAGTAAGCTACAAATACACAACTTCCATACATTGCCTAACCCTTTTTTTTTCCTCTCTTTTCAAAGAGGTAGCAATATTAGGAGTGCTTGTCAAGTCGGTTTTGAGTCAACTTTGAAATGGAAAAGACATATGAAATTGACATAGAAACATATAGAAGGGTTTCTCAAATTATTGCTTAGATACTCAGGTCTTAATAGAAGCAGAAAAGGCATAAAAATCAATTCCCCTCCCATATAGATATCTTTGAATTAGGTTTCATTCTAAACTCTGACCCTGAAGCTTGGTTAGCTAATCTGTTTCATTACATTTCAAAATCTAGGTTGACAAATTGCTACTCAAATGTAGAAAACCAATTAATAACAAACACATTTAGTCCACATGAGTGCACCAGGTTCTCCATCAACAAGCTAAAACAGGCAAATAAAATCCAAACCATAAGAACAAAGATCTGATCATGCTAAACAGAAAAAACCCAGCTCCAAGCAGTCAAACAGAAATCAAACGAAGGCAGAAACCACAGCAATAAATACAGGTGAAGTCAAAGAACAAGTCAATAATCAACGAACAGAACAGAAGGAAAACGATCGAATACAAACACCAGCTAGAAAAGAAAAACAAAAAACACGCGACGATTTTCATATGGGTATAAAGGATTTTCTCGGTTTAGGAAGATCATCATTGATCGAAGTACATAAAAGTAGCGAGAAGAAAAGGGTAGAATGGAGGCGGACCAGAGGGGTTTGGATGTCGCTTAGGGAACTTGATGCGAGGGATCCTCTTGAGGGCCTGAGCTACACCCATAACGCTCGATGAGGGGTCGGTTTGTTGGTGGTGGTGCTGTGTTCTTTGCACTGCGTAGATGGTTGATGAAGATCTTGGTGAAAGTGACGGCGATTTGAAGCAAATGGCGATGAGGGAGCCAATGCGATGCAAGTGCAATTCGGCGTCGTTTATAATCAACGTTTTGTCAACACGCGAGGTTGTCCTCAACTACGCGTTTCCTTTGACGATTCTTTCTTCTTGTTCTTTCTCTTAAAAAAAAGAAAGAGATTTATAAGGGAATGAAAATCAAATAATAGGAATAAAATTTTTAATTTCTATTGATAGAATTTATTCAAATGTAAAAATCAAATATTTTACAAAAATATCACTTAAATTCGTATTTTAGTTGAAAAGAATCTTTCAATTTTCAAAAAAATTACATATATCTTTAAATTTTCAAAAATTAATATCCTTCAATTTTTATTAAAAAAAAAAAAAAAAATATCCATTAAAGATTTTATATAAGAATATAAGAATTTTTAAATATAAATATAAGAATTTTAACACTGAAAATAGAATAGTATATGGTATATTAAAATTTTTCACATCTATATTTGGAAGATTTTTATTAAAGATTTGATATTAAAGAAAGAGAAAAGGCTGTGGAGATCAAATAATAATATATTTTAAAATTAAAAAGTAATAATTTTGTTTTTATTTATTTATTTTTATTTTATTTTTTTAGTTCTAAACCTAAATTTGAAAATTTAAGAGAGAAAATTTAACAAATTAATTATTTTTGGTTAAATATTTTTTTGACCGGTTTATTCAGAAAAAGAAGAAAAAAGAAAAAAGAAAAAAAAAACCGCTGTTGATGGACTCCAAAGCCCTAAAACTAAAACCCACAAATTTGGGAAATCTTCGTGGTTGCCCAGACCGTCTGTGTAGTCTCTCAATTGGGCTCGACAATGGCGTCTCTACTGCAAGAAACATCCCAAAAAGTCATCACGCCGGAGATCCTCCGCTCTGCGGCCAAACAATCACAGCGTTGCCTCGTTGTCCCAGTCCGCCTTCGCCGTGCCATCAAGAAGTACCTTCGAGGTTACACTTCCCGTATTCATTTCTTCTTTGGAGCTCCGTGTGAGTATGTTTCTTTCTTTGTGTTACTCTGTGTGCCTGATTTTATGGCGTTTTCTCTACATTCCAGAGCAAGAAGTGCCGCACCTGAAGAGGAAGGTGTTGAGGTTGTCTGAATCTTTCAGTGGCATCAAGGATGTTAATCTGCAGCTGGCAGCAACCACTTCGAAGGAGCTTGTTGAAGATCCTTTGAAATCGGTAGAGCAGTCCAAGCGTTGGAAGATTAAGAGCTGCTATGGTGATATTGGGTTTCAGTACAGAGATGATGAGACGATTGCTTATGTCGCCTCCCGAATGCCTGCTGTTTTCTCTGCGTGCTATAGAGTTCTTAACGAGGTAAAATAGGTATCTGTATATTAATAACCGATTGAATTAGCTCTCTGTCATCTTCAAAAAATCGAGAAATGAACTGGAACTGCAAGAAACAAGACATCTCAATGGATAGTGTATGGTGAAATGCTGAGGCGAAAGAATTAACTTGCACGTTGTAATTAGGCAATACATAACGGATTTAGCACATAATCATTTTATCAGTGAAACATGTGTGATAATGTCGCGAAGCTTACTTTTTTTTTCACAGACCTTTTCAAATTGATTCAGGGTTTACTTCTATCAGGTTCGGTTTCTATAATTGGGAATGATTTTCTAATCATTTTTCTTTTACATGTATGCACTTAGGTTCGTAGAAGACTACCTGATTTCTCTCCATCTAGTGTATTGGATTTTGGTGCTGGCACTGGTTCAGCTTTCTGGTAACAAGTGTCTTTATTCATTTATCTTAAATAGAATGCATGGACTGTCATAAACTTATATTAGCTAATTACATTGTGATTTGATTCAAATTTCTAGGGCTCTGCGAGAAGTCTGGCCACACTCTGTAGAGAAAGTTAATATAGTAGAACCATCACAATCAATGCAACGTGCTGGACGGAGTTTGATACAAGGTATTGAGGAATTTACATTTTATTGCTGCAATTTGTAATTTTGAACTGATAATTGTGAATAACAAAGTTTTGTTTTATTCATTCCTTCCATAAAAATAAATAAAGAACCAATTTTTATTGCTATTAGACAAATTATAACCAGAAAACTTATTCAGGGTAGGGTTATTAAAACTATATCTGAAAACTAGATTAACTTCTGTATTTGAACCTGCAATTTTGAAGTATTAGTTTGCCATGACGAATGAAATAATGCATGTACATTCCTTATTGTGGTAGACTTGTTTTCAGCACTTATTGAAACAACAAAATTTACACTTTTTCATTTGTTTTAGGCCTAAAGAACTTGCCGCTTATTCATGGTTATGACAGCATTCAGGCGCTTAACAAAGATATTAGTAAGTCAGAGAGAGAACATGACCTTGTCATTGCAGTAAGTAACACTTTTAAAATTCTTCACTAGCATATTTTGGAACTTTTTTTTTTTTTTTGTTGCAAGAACTCGTCGCTCCTGGCTTCTGTCTTTTCTTCTTTTCCCATTTATTTTGTATATAACTTTGAAACCACTGCAGGTATGAAAAAATTGTGGTAATTTAGCTATTAGATCAGAGTACTAATTGATGTTTCATCTTATATGCTGTTGTATGAAGTCTTATGTACTCGGAGAAATACCGTCACTGAAGGACAGGGTAACCATAGTACGCCAGCTTTGGAATCTTACGAAAGATGCTCTGGTAAAAATTTAGCTCTGGGATTTTGTGTAACAACTTTTTTCTGATACTTGTTGTGGTCCTCTTATAATGAATACGTAATTAATCTAGAAATAAGAAAAATAAATTCTGGTGAACATTTTCTTGCCGTACCATAACACAACCCTGAAAAATGGGCGTGAACTTCTTTTTCCAAACTTTATTTCTTGCAAGCCTTTTTCTCCCTTGTTATTTTTGGTCTTTGTGCTTTCGAAAGTGTAATTTTTTCTTCATGCAATTTAAGAAATATGAATGTGATGTAGGTGTTAGTTGAACCTGGAACACCACATGGATCAAATATCATATCTCAAATGCGATCTCACATATTGTGGATGGAAAAAAGAGTAAGTTGATATTTTTGTTGCATCTATTTGACAGTGCAGCATATTTTCTTCTTGACGATTGTGTTTTCTGCTGATATATAGAAATGGCGTAAACATGAAAACAACAAAAATATAGCTTCTAAGGACTTGATTACTCAAAAGTGCGGTGCATATGTAGTTGCTCCTGTGAGTATAATAGGTTCTTTCTCTGTTCTTTTATTTTTATAATTTTGATATACTCGATAACTTTAGCCTTTTGATTAATGTAGAAATCTTTTTCCTGATAATAATCAGCCTAATATCTGTGATTCTTATCTATCTTTTTAATCAGTGTCCTCATGATGGAATATGTCCATTAGTGAATACGGGAAAGTATTGCCATTTTGTTCAGCGATTGGAGAGGACATCAATGCAAAGAGCTTACAAGGTTCCTTTTCTTAGCATTCGGTTTCCTATCCCCTTAACACTCATATCGTGAGAGGCATGTTAGCTTAAAATTGATGGGAAATTAGAAGGCCGATACCTTATATCCGGACTATTATACTGCAGTTACCAATTATTTAGTTTTCCTTTTTATAGTTTCTTTTTATTGCTAGTTTGTATACATGCCTAATATTGACATTTGATCATTTTTTGAACAAGAGGAGTTGCAATGTTAATGTGTTCAATTTCTCTATTTTCTTTGTGACTGACAATATTACCTCTTGCTTTTCGATCCTGTACTCATCTCTTATTGTTGAATGTGACCACATCATAACTTGAAGTGCCTGGCCTAAATTTTCTTGAGAAAGTTGAAAAAGAGCATATTGTAAAATTTATTATTTTCTTTGTTATGCCTTCGATATACAATTGTGGTCCCTATTAAAACAAAAGCACAAGTGGTTTCGGGGATTTTCTCATCTTTTCATTCTAGATTTTGAATGTTCTTATGATGAATCTGTTAGCTTCCCTAGTATATAGTATAATATAAGGATCCATTGCTTACTATCTTTTACTCTTTTTACATGTAGCGCGCCAAGGGTGAATCCTTGAGAGGTTTTGAGGACGAGAAGTTTTCTTACGTTGTATTCAGGCGTGGACAACGTCCTCGGTGAGTTCATTTTAATTTTGTTCTCAAAATCTCGGAAGTTTTTAGGTTCCGTTCTCTTAAAGACAATAGGATTATTCAAATGATATTATACTGATTGTTAGCAGTTTGTGTTACATTTATAATTTCTCCAACCTGGTGTCCTCATCTTGATATTTGTATGTGGACTCTCAATTCTCAAACACGTTTTTGCTTCGCTTTTCTAAACCTCACTTTGATTTTTCAGGGAACCATGGCCTCTAGACGGCATGAAGTTTGAGACGCTAAAGGAACAGCATGCCAAAAGAAATCCAGAAGACCTAGAGATTGACTATGGTGAGAATTAAATAAATATAATTTAATATATCCTTCATATCTCTTTAAACCAGACAGTAATTAGAAATGACAACTAAAATCTTCAAACAGACCTCTATTAGCATTCGCTACAGTTTCACTAGAGTTGTTCTATTAATCTTTATCCCCTCTTACTTGTGACCATGGCAGAGGACCTAATAAAGTTGAACACACAAATTGTTCCATACCAAGAAGTGGATCCAGTTACATATGATTCTGATGTCATTGAAACTGAAATTCTTGATGATGGAGAAGAAGAGGGAGAGGAAGAACAAGGAGAATCGGCACTTGCTGATCTCGGTGGTGGTTGGGGCAGGATTGTATTTCCACCAATTCGAAGGGGCAGGCATGTATCGATGGATATTTGTCGATCGACAACGCGGGATGCCTCAGAGGGCTCGTTTGAGCGAGTTATTGTCACACAGAGTAAGAATCCTACTTTACATCATCAAGCTCGAAGGTCAGTTTGGGGTGATTTATGGCCTTTTTGAATTGTCTTCATGTCTGGCATGGCATCCATACACGAGTTATTTAACTACTGGAAAATGTGTATAGAAGCCTATAGATGTAGACATTCACTTGTTATTGGAACGTTGATTTGGAGAGTCAAATCTTGTTTTTGGCATTAATGTTTATGATTCTTTAATATGTTGATATTCAAATCTTAGAGTAAAACATTGTCAATTTCATTCTTGATCTTTCTTTTATATGTTTAATAGCATGTCTAATTGACATAAATTTTTACTTCAAGTTTTGTATTTATTTTACACATTTATTTTTATATATAATTGTTTCATTAATTTTAATTAGTGGAATATGTTCAGACAATATAAAATCAAGAACTTGTTGATTCAACTTCAGAAGTTAAAATCTTACTTTTCATGCTCATTTTAACAACAATTTCAGTAAATAATTAACCATTTCATTTTTTTTTTCTTAAAAAAACTTTATGAACTATGCACATATGTCATCAATGGAAGCAGAATCTGCAGTGGTACATATAATAAAAGGTTCAGTCACTTTTAAAATGAAATTTACAGTAGAGAGAGAAAGAGAGATGAAATACAATCAAATTACCAAGTTATCAATGAAGAATCATCTTAAACCTCATCCATCATCTCACCATTTTCAGAACAATTCCACGACCCTTTAAAGAAACCTCACACCCACCAAAAACATCCCCACTTTCTTCGACTTGTTTATGAATCTCTCCCACTTTGATTTGAAAGGTCGGAGCAACCTTGTTAGGGCGATCCAGCTACTCGGAAAAGAGTTGAATTGTGCTTGCTTATTACGATTACGCAAGTTCACCTAAAGGCTTGAATAAGTAGGGTCAAGGGAGTGGCACTCTTCTTCGAAAAGAGGAGTTGCTTGCCCGAACTATCTTAAAGTCAAGCTCTTTGGATTTTTCCTATACTGACAGAAGAGATCTTTTCATGGATCCAGACAAATTCATTCCATGGATTCTAAGTGTTAGGAACTTAAAAAGCTTGTTGATTCTTTCCTTCATTTCGTTCCTTTTATACAAGTTTATGGAATTGAATGTACATGGCAGTTGAAAAAGAAGCAGACCAATGTCATAATGAAAGGAATTCAATGCCACAACAGATCAAGATAAAAGATTCAGCTCAAACATGAAAGGACATTTCCTTCATTGAATGGAAACACAAGAACACAGTTATCCATATCTAGGGGGGCAGCACAAGCAAAGACCCACCAGATAGATGCCTCTATTATACACATAATGTAATGTAATAATTATTACACATACCCATTTCCTCTACTGTTTTCTTTCTTTTTGTTTTTGTTTTCTTCTTTCTATTTCCTGAAAGCAGGCTCCCAGTCTCAAAAATAAAAGAATCGTGTATATCATAATTAAACCTGTATTATAACGACATCCCTTCCAGATGGATTCCGACATCTCGACGACTTGCAAAGGATGTTGACTAAATCATAGAAACAACACGGGTCAGTGTGATTCGAACATTACATCGAGGGCGGTTCATAATTCATGAACCCCCTTAACTTGGCAGGTTGCTGTAGACTTAATATGCTGTTCTAAGGATATTCTCACAAACCTAGCAAATGCAAGCGAAGATACCGAGTGATTCATAACCGAACGGGTAAACCATAGTTGAGAAATGTTCGGATTCGTCCATCCCATCCAGCGGTAACGATCACAAGACCCCACATGTGTGGAGAGCTAAGCATGCTTTGGCAGGCATTCTTCAAAAACTTGAACTCAGTCTTGCACATGGAAGGTGAAGGTGTCATTGAGCTGGAATCATGGAGTTTCTCCGCTGGCCAAGTTGCAGTTCCTTTGAGCAACTCGGGAAAAAGATTGCGACTTAGAGAGAAGCAATCCGGTGACGATGATGGAACCTTGTGTTCGCTATCACCATCGTCATTTGGATACTTGGGCTCCATTTCAGGGATACTTTCTGCTGTAACGCAAACTCGTGTTGGGGACACGGGGGGTTCGGGTGTGATTTTCACACCAGACCAAGGTATAGCTATCGACGCATTATGAGAAAAGAAACTTTCAGACGACCAAATTTTCTTTTTCCGAGACGCTTTGTCCTTACAATTGTAGTTCCAAACATAGATGTTTTCTTCACTGGCTGAAACAATATGCTTTCCATCAGAGGTAAACGAAGCAGACATCTTGTTTCCACCATTTCGAGGACCTAAGAAGAGAGACAGAAAAGAAGGTTAATAATTCTGTATCTTTCTTCTTTGACATTAACCTGAAAGAGGAAGCATCGACATACCCTTGAACTTGCAAATGATATCACCCCCAGAAATTATATGAACCGGCGAATCAACAGAGCAGACCATTAGTTTACTCGGGTCACTAGGAGAAAACTGTAAAAACAAAGTGTTAAAACAAACACGAGTCAAATCAACATGTTTGGAAGACTTTGGGATGCCGAAAAAAACCTCAAAACCAATTATTCTCTTCCCAGGCGACTTCTTTTTGCCATTTAAGCATATTTGAGTATCGAGCTCCAACCGATTATCTGAACCCATAAAAACGTAATGAATTTCTTGTGAACCGCAAATTTTTTTTTTTTATCTAATTGCTTTGTTTACTACAGCAGTACTACAACAGAACTCAATCATATGCTTATCAAATAGATTACATTTAACAACAGGATAAAAACACGACATAAAGAAAAGAAAAAGAATTGGATTAACGTAATGTCTCACGTGCGTACCTATAATATTATAGAAACGACAGTTTCCATTCATGGACCCGACGATTCCTCCCTACACACAGGTCAAGTAAGCAGGTAAGGAATATTACAGAAATCGGGGATGGCGATGGGGATTGGAAGGGAGAGGCAGGCAGACAAAAGAATACAAAGATCACAAAACTATATCAAACCTTTCCATCCGGTCTGTAACAGACAGCACTCACTATCTCACGAGTATCGATATAATCAACGACTTGACAAGCAAGAACTTCCCAGATCCGAACTTTACCATCTATCGAGCCGCTTATGAAATGATTTTCATCTAGAGGGTTGAAACTTACACAGGTTACTGCAAAAAATGGCAAATAAATCAAAACATAGATAACGAGAACAGAAAAAGATCCCATCCATCAATATTAATGTGAAATCAAGCATACAACAAACACTAATATATGTATGTCTGAAGAAGTATACCGTAGTTATTATGACAGTAAACTCTTATGCACGTGTCGCATCCCAGCTGCCAAAGACGTACGGTTTTATCGACAGAAGACGACAGCAGAAGCTGCGTAGAACATTAAAAGAAATAATAGTAGTAAGTGATCATCGCAAAACTTCAGCATCAATATACAAATTACTGGTATGATTAGAGACATCAAGATTCATGGCAATCATAAACATAGATACTGAAGAAATGAATTCAAATAAAGACGCATAAAATGGTGGTTTATTGTACTGACCCCTTTCTTCGACCAAGATAGATCCAAGACCTCACCGCTGTGTCCCGAGAACTCGTGCAACGGTTTCTCCAATATCCTAAACAGATTTGGTGGAAAAATTACACAGGCTGTACTTGATGATCTCTTCAACTTCGTCTTGCCTACGGTCTCTTTCACATCCAAGGGGTCTAGCTTGGACAAATGATTTGTTGTGAAGTACATAGAGGAAGGATCAACATTGTGAAGGTTGAAATTATCAATTTTCACATCTTCAATGACCTGCCATACACGCACGACACGATCTTCGCCTGCAGTAGCTAAGTATCTTCCATCAAAACTGAACTTCATTGTAGAAATTGGCCCTTTATGTGCTTCAAATTCTTGTCCCACAAAAAGGGATGATAAGTCCTTGGCTTGCTTTTTATATGGATGAACACGAACTTGTTGCATCCCAGCCTTAGACGATGAATTGAGATTGTCGTGCTTCACTGCACCCTCCCTGTTGTCAACTATACAAGCCACCGCACCCAATTTTCTCAGCCAACCCTTCTTTACCTCTTTCCTGACATTGACTATAGGCCTAGCCTTTTCCACATTTTTGCGGAAGAGTTCCTGAACCAAGGGAGTCTGCCCAATGTTTCTCTCGAATTCATCAAAACTGAACGATCGGTTCGAACCGACTTCGCGTAACATGTTCAACATTCCATCTTGACTGAAACAATCCACAATAAACTCAGTCCCATTGTCCAAATTCCTGATAGTATAACCATAACTTTCCTCCACAGAAACATTTCCTGATGATTCTGGAGCTCCTTCCGACATGGAAGACATGGTAAAACTTGAAGATAACTCCCCTTCAGAACCCGAAAGTCGCAACACCGTTCCACAATCTTCCAGTATTCGATCATGATAACCCCTCCCAAATGAAACCCCTTCCTCTTCATCTTTGTTGTCAGAATTATCCAAATCCAAATCCAAACTCATCCATTGGAAGAATTTGTTTCTGCGTTCATAAACACTTTCCAAGTTTCTTATCCATCCACCATATCCGAAACTTTCAGGAACATCTCTATCATCCCCAAAACTTGTGCTACAGTTCTCAGAGCAATCAGATCCCCAATCAGAAACAGAGGAGATCTCCTCACGAGTATCATAGAATCTTTCAATCTCCTCCTCACAGTAAATCAAATCCATCGGTTCTTCACTCCCTTTACCCCACCCCTTCGCTTCAAATTCATGGCATCCTGACTAAAACTCGATAGATAAACACCAATCGTTTGAACCGTCGCACACCCTCAACAATCCCAATTAGATTCTACATAGACTCCAACTCTGTTCATCGTTTTCAAGAATTCAAAAAACAACAAAAAGAAAACCATTAGATCCATGGCCACAAACCCATCAATAGAAAATCAAAACAGGAACATCCAATCAGTCCACAAAATTGACCAACCCCAAAAGACCCGAATCACAACAACAGTAAACGCTATCACAACTCTCCGACAAAACAGAACCCTAAAGAAATCAGTACCTAGAAGAAACCAGTAACCCCAAAATCAGCGAAATTAGAGAAGATAAGAGGAATTACACAAGAAAACTGAAATGGGTGTTGAATGATCGAGAAGAAAAAGAGAAAAATTACAAACCTGGGTGACCCCAGAACTCGGGTCAAACCCAACTGGGGCTCTTCCTCTTTTTGGACTCTTCTCTCCGGAGGAGTTACCAGATGCGGAGGCAAAGAATACAGTGCGATGATGT